TATGTATGTGGTATATGTGTGGATGTGTGTGTGTGGTGTATATGTGTGTATATGTGTGTGGTATATGTGTGGATGTGTGTGTGGTGTATATGTGTGTGTGTGGTGTATATATGTGTGTGTGTGTGTGGTGTATATGTGTGTATGTGTGTGTGTTGAGATAGGGTCTTACTGTAGCCCTAGCTGACCTGGAACTCACCATGTAGACCTAGTTGGTCTCCAGTTTGTGTTGACCCTCCTGTCCTTGCTTCTTGAGTGCTAGGACACTGACCCTCCTATCCTTGCCCCCCGAGTGCCGGGACTGGAGTGGGTACCACCATTGCTCTTCCCTGTAGTAAAAAAAAAAAAAAAATTAAGGATTCTGATTTTGTCATTTTCTGTGTATTGTTACAGTTTTCTTTCTGCTGTAGTCAAATCTCCAAGAGTGGCAAATCCATTCCTTAAGAAATCTATCCCAGGTACCCTGGGCAGCTTGGGGACTTTCAGTGACTCCTAGAAGGGCAATGTGGCAAGATGAACTGCTTCAAAGTGTCCATGAGATCGGATCCAACATTCTAGAATATTACCCCAACATTATAAATATTTAAGAATAGAATATTTATCACCACATTATAAAATGGGAACACAAAAGCATTCAAAACACTGAGCTGGTTAAATCAGTTGTATCAGTAATTATTCTATTATACTATTATTCTATCGGATGCTCAGAACGCATCGCTCAAGGTAAAAGTGGAACAGCAAAACAACAAATGATCCCCTTACCCCCAAAACATGAGAGGGTGTGCTGGCTGGTTTATGTCAACTTGACACAAGCAAGAGTCATCAGAGTGGAGGGAGCGTCTGTTGAGAAAACGTCTGCATAAGATCGGGCTGACGGCAAGGCTGTGGGGTATTTCTTTAATTAGTGATTGATGGGGGAGGGCCCAGCTCATTATAGGTGGTCTCATTCCTGGGCTGGTGGTCCTGGGCTCTATAAGAAAGCAGGCTGGGTAAGCCATGAGGAACAAGCCAGTAGGCAGTACCCTGCCATGGCTTCTGCATCAGTTCCTGCCTCCAGGTTCCAGTTCGGTTAGAATTCCTGTATTGGCTTCCTTCCCTCCACAGACCAAACAAACCCTTCCTTCCCCAACTTGCTTTTCGTCGTGGTGTTTCTTCATGGCAAGAGTAACCCTGACTATGACAGCAGGAATTTACCAAATGTTAGAAACTCTAGTCCGTGTGACTGCATCATAGACCATTTGTTTTCCTCTAGGGGTCTCTCAACTTTCCAGTGTCTTAACAATAAACATTCATTAATTTGAAAAGCAAGGAAAATTTTAAATTACAATCCAGCTTCAAAAGTTAACAGTATAAAAGAAAGATGGTTTATATTCATGAGCTGTTTAAGGGAGTGATGAAAGTCAGGAATTTCTCCAACAAATGTGTATTGAGCACTTAGTAGGTACAGATGTGTATCGAGCACTTAGTAAGCACAGATGTGTATGGAGCACCTACTAGATGCAGATGTGTACCAAGCACTTAGTAGGCACAGAAGTATATCGAGAACTTAGTAGGTACAGAAGTGTATCGAGCACTTAGTAGGCACAGAAGTGTATCGAGCACTTAGTAGGCACAAATGTATATTGAGCACTTAGTAGGCACACATGTATATTGAGTGCTTGTAGGTAACCAGTTCCACAGAACTACTATTTTGAAAGTCTACCCCTCCACGTTCTCTCTGTCTTTCTCTCTCTCTCTCTTTCACACACACACACACACACACACACACATACACACGCACACACACACACACAGAGGCTACTTCCTTAAATGGCTTTAATCTGATGTCATAAGTAGTCTTTGTTTAGGACTGATCATTTACTATGTCTCTGAGCGTAGCTCCAAAGTCCCCTGGCTTTTGTGTTTCACAGTGACATTAGCTGAGCAAGATGAGTGACCTCTGGGCAGGCTGAGTGGCTGTTTACCTGCAGAAAGACAGACAATACCATAAGTCATGTTCCCCACAGGACATACCCACAGGTCACCATGGCTGATCTGGGGAACGCCGCCAGAGAGCCACTCCCTTGGAGGCTGTAGGTCAGTCTCCGCAATTCTTTCATTTTATGTCAACCATCGAAAGGACCGAGCAAATGCCTAACAGGCTGCTCAGTCTCAGAGATCAGGCCTCCATTTCAGTTTCCCGAGACTGAATGAGCAGCTTCTGAGGAAGAGCCACGAATAAAGGACCATCCATCTCCGACACCCCCGACAGCAAGAGGAGGCCTGGTTCATGCAGTGCTGGGCCAGGCCTGAGTCCCCAGCCTCCACGGCAGCTCCAGGACAGGGCCTGGGACTTGCACAGGCCTGTCCAAAAATGGCAACGTGTAGCCCTGACTAACCCCCTGACTAGCCGTAGCCAATTACAAGGTCCTAACATGATTTCCACTAGCTTAAGTGAATCATGTCTGTATGACCCAACTTCCTTAGACATGCCCCTCAGTAAGGCTTTAAAGAAGACCCCACCTCCCTCTTGGGGTTGTCGCCATCTTGCTTTTGTGCAGGATGGTCAGCCCCAGTTTGCTGGAATAACAATAATAATAATAATAATAATAATAATAATAATAATAATAATGAGGAGGAGGAAGAAGAGGAGGAGGAGGAAGAGGAGGAAGAGGAGGAGGAGGAGAAGAAGAAGAAGAAGAGGAAGAAGAAGAAGAAGAAGAAGAAGAAGAAGAAGAAGAAGAAGAAGAAGAAGAAGAAGAAGAAGAAGACGACTCTTTGCTTTTGCATTGGATCTACCTCTTGTGGTCTTTGGGGGTCCTGACTCCATGCGCAACACCATCTCCTACAAATGCCACCTCTGAGCGAGGTGCGGCGGCCCACGCCTTTAATCCCAGCACTCGGGAGATAGAGGCAGGTGGATCTCTGTGAGACTGGTCTACAGAGCGAGTTTCAGGACAGCCAAGACTATACAGGGAAACCCTATCTTGAAAAAAAAAAATAACTCTAGTCCAAGCCTTATCAGCAGACCTTAAGCTACTACCCCGCGCTCACCAGTCGTGGCCTTCAGACGCGTGCTGTAGAGAAATGTGAATTTATTAGTGGCTGGTGCATTTAGGTGTTGATGTTACCTTTCCTGATTTCAATTTGTTTCTGGCTATTTTCCTCGCGTCGCCCCTCCAGCCTCAAGGTCTACCCAACAGCAGACTTCCCTTGGCGTCAGGACTGCGGAGGGTGCGCGAAGTTTCCCGTGGCAGGCTGCCCAGACGCTTCTGCCCCTGATGCTAGGAACACCAGGCACAGTACAAGGCCCTCTGTATGTGCATTGTCAACCCACACTCCTCCTCACACATACTGTGGATGAGTAGGAGTTCTGATGTTAGGATCAAGAAACAGGCTTGTCGCTGGCTTACGAGGTGGCGCTTCTTAGGCAAGAAGGGGAATTCAGACAAGCAGAGGCACGTGAGGACAGTCAGGGCGGCGTGGAAGCCGTGAGAATACCCCAGGCTTCCCACACAGCTCAGGAGTCCGCAAGGGACTGTCCTCTCTGGGCAAGGAGGGATGGATGGAACTGCCAGAACATTCCCGCTGGTCTTTCCTCTGCTGGGCTCTGGCAGTGATCTGGTCAGCATCCGAGTCTACTCCCCGTCCCCCGCCCCGCCCCGTTCTGCACCGCCTCAAGCCCTTCACTGGCTTCCTCTTCATCTCAGGCACCTGGCACGCTCCTGAGCTCCTGCTATCCCAAGTTTGTTTCCTAACAAGGAAGAGCCTGATCAGATCTAAACATACCTGGAGGGGTCCAGGTTGCCGTGTGCTGTCTCCCAAAGAAGTTTCCTTCCGGGGATTGTTCACTTGGTCAGTATTTGATCATCAACCAAGGGACACAGGAAACCTGTGTAAGAGAACTGAAAAACAAAACAAAAACCTTCTGTAATCCCTGGTCTACAAAGGGAATAGACAAGCAAATAAAGAGTTGTCTTTATCTAAGAGCAATGGTTCTGACTTGTGTGGGGGGGGAGGGCGGAATATCATCCAAGCCTTACAGGAGGGTCACAGGCTTGAAGGATGGACTTGAGAGACGCAGGATGAATCCCTGTTCCCCAGCAGCTGCAGGAGCAGAGGCAGGGAAGATAAACTGCTAGACGAAAGGAGCCTTAAGTCCTAAAGGACTTAAGATACAAAGAGCATAGAAGATGAGGTTGCTAGACCATGCTCTTCAAGGGCTTCACTGGACTCAGGGCAGCGCAGGCTTTGTGTTGTTTTTCTCATGGAAGGCTTTCTCATTGCACGACTTTCACCCGTACCCTTTGGGCTTTGGAAAAAGATAATTGTGGCGCTAGTGACCTAAAATATTGAATGTGGGTTTTTTTTTTTTTTGAGTTGCATTTTGGAATTTTCTTAAATCTGAAAATACTTTACCTTGACAAATATCCAGGGACCGAATTGGGGCAAGGAACGAACCCTGCCGGTGGATATGACGTGACACCAAGCAACTTCCGAGACTGATTGATTGATTGATTGATTGATTCTGGGTGAGTGTATTCTCAGCCTGGGAGTAAGACCTCTATTGAGCCACAGTCCCCAGGCCATGGGCTCAGGGGTGATGGACTTGCCTGTGCCCCTGTTTGCGTCCTAAAGTATCTAACGTAGGTATCTTCTCCCAAGCCATAATCTCTAGGAAGAAATCAGCCAATTGTGTTGTAAAATCGCCTGTCCTCCAACTACAGCATCAAGAACAGAAACGGGAACTAGACTTGGTCCTAAATGAGGAAGTTCAGAATGCTGATGTAAATTCTGTACAGATTTTTTTTTTCCTTATAAGTGAAGAACCAAAGAAATTCCATGACGGGAGGTGGTGGCGCTCATCTTTCGTCCCAGCACTCGGGAGGCAGAGGCAGGCGGCTCTCTGAGTTTGAGGCCAGCCTGGTCTACAGAGCTAATTAATTCCAGGATAGTCAGAGGGTTACACAGAGAAGCCTTGCCTTGGGGAAAAAAAAAAAAAAAACAAAAGAAAAGAAAGAAAGGAAAGAAAAATGCCGTGCGATTTTCAGTTGTCACAGTTGTAACTTTCGTGTGAGCCAAGTGCACCCGTTCAGCATCTCAGCGAATGAAGACTGCTAACTCAAAGATGGCCCAGGAGTAGGAGCACAGTGCTACCCAGTCCGGAAGGAGAAGTTTTATACCACAATTTGGCATACATATTTGGCACTATTTAGTCATGTTGACTGTATTTTTTATATAATTTCTCTGACGCAGAAATTGCACTCATGTGTTTACAATCTTTAAGACACTGCCTTCACTTGTGTCTGGGGAGCACGAACCAGAATATCCATAGCAGCACTGAGAAGAGTGCCTCAAAGCCGGGAGCTACTTGGATGCAACAGAAACATCCATAGATAAGTTGTGACATACCCGCTGGGTCTAGTGTGCAAAGGAACGAAACTGAAGATGGAAGACGATCTCACAGATAAAATATTGAATGAAAACAGCAAGTTGGAGGGGACTATGCAGAATGTATTTCTACTCATGTTAAAAACTCGTAATGACCATGGTATGCGGCAATACCTTGCTGCCGTAGTCTGCAAACACACCGACAGCGAGCCACTCTACAGACCATAGAACAGAGAGGCTTGCTGATGGGCGTGGTCGGTTGATAAATAACCAGAACAGCTCAATTCAAAAGATTTTAATAATTGAGGGAAAACTACTTACACGACCAAAGATCCCGCGAAAGCCAGGAGCGCAGGAAACCAAAGAGGAAGCGGGGAGCGCACCCACAAGATTTATCTGTATTTCTTGGCCTTGGGGGGGGGGACACACCCCCAAAACAGAATGTGATTGGATGAGCTTCCCCATCATCTTGCCAACCAAAGCAAGCCATTCCAAGCCCACGCTGAGCAAGTCGGTTAAAGCCCACCACAGGTGTATACTGAGCAAGCTAGCGTGTTTCAGATTTTCCGTTGGCTGAATGGACACTTGATCCCTCCGTGCTTGGTTCTGTCTCTTTCCCCTCCGCCACATCCGCCTTCCTCACTGAGGGTGTGCTCACAGGATCCGAGCTGAACAAGCGTCTCCGAAGACTTGGGTTCCTACGATTAAAAGCCCCGCTTGCTCTACGGTCTTCTGTGGCAGGGCACTTGGCAGGCAGAGCTTTCCAGTCAGCCCCGTGAGCAGCCATGATGATTTATGCGCCCATGCAGAGGAGCAGAGGATGTGAGGAGCCCGTAGCAGGCCAGGCAACACCTTATGGATGACATGCTTCCTGCACCCCAAGTATCTCCAATGCTTACGAATGCTAGATGATTCAGGCCTCCTGCATATTTCATGTGTCACAGCTGGCGGGCCCTGGCTTCTCTTGCTCCGTCCTAATTACGTTCTAACTACGTGTGACATGCCTGAGAGGCCTCATTAACACTCGAAGTCACTTATGAATTTTGTTTATGTAAGCTACTTTAATTTCGCAGTTCCATTATCTTTATTTATAATTCTCTTATTTTTCTCCGGTAGAGCTGAAGTCTTCACACACGTTATAAATACCTGTGAACCATGTTTGCAATGTGATAAAGGTTTAGAGAGAATTTAAGAGCTGGGTAAGTGATCGAGATGGGAAGGGGTTTGTTCCAGTTGGAGACGTCTAATTCTATGGGTGATGTAGTGTTGGTGAGTTTATAGGTATTTGTTATATTGTGTGTCAATTTTCTTCTAATTGTAAATGCTGTCTGAAACGACATCGCCCTTAGACCTTTGCATGTAATATGCTCTTGATTATAAGTAGCCAGTTAATTTTAGGCCGCCTAGTTTTATGATCTTTATGATATCCACATCGGTAAGGAAATACTCATATATGAAGATTACGTTTATCTTAGAAAGCCCCTTCCAACTGGGTCTGGTGTTGCCTAAATGAGGGTTTGTTTCCTGGACAGATGAACTCTGCTGTACTGTCAACACAGACAGTGTGGTCGAACATTCGACGCGATCCCACGGATCCCGTAGGAGCCGTTCTGCAGCGGGGCCGAGAGAAGCTGTGTGCTGGGCTCGCTCTTTTCCAATCTGTCATCTGCTTGGATCTGCGAACGAGAGTCTTGGAAGACTCTCTCTGGCTCCTCCCGAAAGGCGGCTCGCATCCAACATCTTCAGAAGAATTCAGGCTCGTCATGTGAGAGAAATTCTTGAGATTTTGTAGCTGGTGGTGACGGTTGGCCTCGATTACTGAACAAATGCGGTCTGCAAACGGACCCCGTTTAGGTGGAGAACGGCACTTAATCCTTTTTGACCTAAGGAACCCTTAACTTGCCTAGGCCAATTTTCTAGGTTCCCCACCGCTTAAAAACACCCAGTGGGAAGGGCCTATTTTCCCTGGCTTGGGAAGCTCCCACTTCAGCATTCAGAGAACATTAGAATTCTCGCCTCTTCGGCGGAGACAGTGGGGTCAGGTGAAGCTTTTAAGTGTGCGCTGTACCATTCTGGCACAGACCAGACGGTTGGTCATAACTCTGTCTCACCACTTGATTGTAGTTCAGTGTCTTGATATTTCAAAGAAACCCACATACAGGGTTGTGAGCGTGCTGTGTTCTCCCAGGCCAGGGTAGAAGGGATGGGAGCAGCGAAAGGGGAGGCTTGGTCTTTTCCGGTACTTTTTCTCCCTGTAAAGCTAATTTCCCTTTTCCTCTTAGCTGCTGGCAAGATCTGCAGACCTGTCTCTACAGTCCGGGGCATCCAGCCAATACCATCCATACTCGGCCAGTGAGTGCCCATACCACACCCCCCACCCCCACCACCACACAATCAACCCCCTCGGTGCTCGGTGCTTGGTGCTCATAACTTCTGTTGAGAGAGCTGGGCAGAGCGCAGTATTCTTTGTGTGGCTCCAGGGAGGCCCCCTCCAGATCTGGGGTGCCGCAGCCCCTGCTGGTGCCGTCACGTGGCTCCGTGTCCTCTGGATCTCAGGTTCACTTCCTTGGAAGCGACAAAACGCTGCTTTCTGGCCCTGGCTTTAAGAAGCGCATAAAACAGAGGAGTCTGACCCCAGGGCCCTCTCCTCTCAGCCTGGGAATCCAAAACGGGAAACAGCGAGATGCGTGGAGCAAAGGATCCAGGCCAGAGTCATCCGGGGCCTCCGGACAGCACCTCGGTGCTAAGGTTGACATCCAGGGCCTGGGCTGGTCAGGTACAGAGCGACCAGGGACTTGGAACAGCAGGATGCGAGGGCGAGGCTGGCCGGCTTCCCACAGTCTGCGGATCCCTCATTAGGCTGGCGCAGAGACTGAAAATGTACGTCTCCATCTATTTCTGGCTTCTAAATGTGCGAAGAAATAAGTCGCTTTATTATTTTATTTTTGTAAAGTTGAAGACAGAGGCAGATGCCCCTTGGAGCGCGCGCGCGCGTGCGCGCGTGTGTGTGTGTGTGTGTGTGTGTGTATGTGCTCGCTCTAAAAAGTCCCGGCTCTGCTAGGAAGTCTTCGAGAGGAAGGCGGCATCAAGGACAAATAGGTTGTCCCCTCTAAATCTGCGGGAAGAGCACTGGCAAGGGTAGGAACTGTCAGCACTTTCACGTGGAGATGTGGGAAATAAAATCAGGGAAGTTGTCCAAAAATGCAACTTAAGTCAAAAAAAAATAATTAAGAAAAAACAATGACGTCTCGAAGTAACATGGAGGTTAGGATGTGTTAAATGCAAAATGACAATAGACATAAATATAGCCTTTTTAAAATCAGTTAAGGAATACATGAATACTTCGAGAAGTCTCCCATTAGAGGTGTGTGGAAATCTTAAAGCTTAATGTCTGTGTGTGAATGTCCAATGAGAGTAAATTAAAAATTGAAGAAATCTGGGCAAACAAAAAGATGGTACCAATGTACCAACTGTACTCCTGAGTGGGGTTGTTATGATAAATTTAACTTCAGTTATGGAACCAGACAAAGACAATTTTACAAAGCAAAATACCGTGACATTCATTTGCTGGAAAAAAAAATATTTCTGGGCACACAATATGTACCAGTTTCTGCGTTAGTCCCCAGAAGCACACTCCAGGTGAGGAGAAATGGATTCTGCGGCTGCATAGTGTCCCTGCCCGAGCTCTGAGCTGAGCAGGGAAAATCAAATCACATATAAAATATAAAAGGTGGGCCTGCCAAACAGATCTATTAGTATGAACTTTTATTCTTTCTCCATTGTGTGTATGTGGTGTGTGTGGTGTGGTATGTGCACGTGTATATGCACACATGGGAATGGGTACCCATGCATGTGTGTGTGTACAGGTGGGTATGAGTGCCCATGCATGTGTGTGGACAGGTGGGTATGAGTACCCATGCATGTGTGTGGACAGGTGGGTATGAGTGCCCATGCATGTGTCTGAGCACTCGTGGTGTGGGTGCCCATGCATGTGTGAGTACAGGTGGGTATGGGTGCCCATGCATGTGTGTGTACAGGTGGGTATGGGTGCCCATGCATGTGTGTGTACAGGTGGGTACGGGTGCCCATGTATGTGTGTGAGTACACGTGGTGTGGGTGCCCATGCATGTGTGTGGACAGGTGGGTATGAGTGCCCATGCATGTGTGTGAGTACACATGGTGTGGGTGCCCATGCATGTGTGTGGACAGGTGGGTATGGGTGCCCATGCATGTGTGTGAGTACACATGGTGTGGGTGCCCATGCATGTGTGTGGACAGGTGGGTATGGGTGCCCATGCATGTGTGTGGACAGGTGGAGCCCCAAACTTGGTGTCAGAAATCGTCCCTCATCACCTGCCACCATTCACTGAGGGGTGCTGTGAAAACCTGACCTCCCTGATGGGGCAGGACAGCTCACTCTGGGGGCCCCCATCTCTGCCTACTTAGCATTTCTGTGGGTTCTGGGTGTCGCATCTCCAGTCATGCTAGGACAGCAAGTGTTTTCACCACCAAACTATCTCTCCAGCCTTGACCACCTGTTCCCTGTGTACACGTTAGGGCCGTGTGTGTGTGCCTGTGCATGTGGGGGGGGGTCAGAGGTCAACCTGAGTCACCCTCTAACTGCCTTTGGAGATTGTCTCCCTCGCTGGCCTGGACCTCGTCAAGCAGGCTAGGCTGGCCGGCAGCCATCAAGCCTCTGTATTGCTGGGATCATCAACATGAGCTACTCTCTTTCTCCATGTATTCTGAATATCTAATCCAGGCTTCATGCTTGTGTGGCAACTGAGTTCTCGCCAGTTCCTGAACATTTCTTTCAGATTAAAGAAGCCGGACCTGTACTATTATGTAAATAAACCCGTTTTTCCTTTGGCCTCTGGTTTGACTCTCCAGAAAAGGTAATTCTTTCTTACTGTAAGGTCCTTCTTTGTTCTCAAGTCGTCTGGCAGAATGCATGCAGAAGGAATCCATCTCACAATGAATTTTGGAAATCTCAGAAATCCATCTCGGTGCCCCAGTGCTTTTCTGGAAATGAAGCAAGAAACCAAGTACGATTTTTTTTTTTTTCTCAAAAGCTGAGGTTCAATTTTCAGTGTCTAATCCAGTTTTCTCAGGAAGTGTTAGCCACGCGTTCCCTACCGCCATCCGAAACAGTTGTGTTGTGGGGTGCGGCCATCTGTGTGGGCTACGGCAGACACACTGGGAAAACCCGTGCTAACGGGAGCGCGGTCAATATCCGCCAGAGAGGTGATCGCTGGAACCAGCCACTCCGGGAGCTGCTGCTGGAGCGTTATCAGGGGGACCGTCCGTGCCCCGCACCTACCTATGCTGCAGATGCGCCTGTGGGAGCTGCATCCCCTGCCTGTCTGACCTACGGCTGTGCTGAGCGGTGGCACAATGCCTGCCACCCACAGGGCTGTTGTGACAATTCCCGAAGTAAATGCTCTAAAGCATTGTGAACAATTCAAAAGAAGGGCACCACGTAACTGCCAAAATCATTAGACACCCACAGATACAGCTTTTTTTTTTAAACATTCCTAACATGGTACTAGAAAAGGGCATTCCCAGAGTTCACTTCAATTTCAGCGTGTTTCATTGCATTTTAGCCCTGACTTTTAAATTAACGATCATTTCCAGGGTGAGGAAGGGAACCTAGGAGCTCTTGGCTCTTTGCATGGCAAGACTCTGGACCGAATGTGTCTTCCCAAAGCTCATTTGTTAAAACTCGATGTCCCCGCCCCCAACGGTGCTATTAGTAAGTGGGGCTTGCTGGAGGTGGTTGGAGAGTGAAGGCTGAACTCTCAATTGGGACTTTTCCAGGTAACCCTCACCTTTCTCAGCTCGGAGGACACAGCAGGCAGAGGCAGCATGAGAATTAGAAGCGGGCCCTCATCCACTCGTTCTGCCTCTTGCCTTTGGGCTTCTCTGCTTCCAGGGCCCGTGAGAAGTGAGTGTCGGCTGTTTAAAACCTCTGACCTGCGGGATTTTTCTTGCAGTGGCCCAAGTGCACTGAATCACGATGTTTTTTAAAGGACTAAGGCTTTAATTAGCTCTCTAATTAAGGGACGATTTATTAGAGAAGTGTTGGCCCTCTGGAAGACCTCTGCTAATTTATGACAAGCATGTGTTCTTGGATTCAGTTTGCCTGTATTTTATTGAGTATTTTTGCATCCATGTTCATGAGTGAGATTAGTCTATAATTCTCTTTCTTAGTTGAGTCTTTGTATGGCTTTGGTATCAGGGTAAATGTAGCTTCATCAAAACAGTTTGGCAATGTCCCTTCTGTTTCTATTATGTGGAACACTTTGAGGAATATAGGTAGTAGCTCTTCTTGGAAGTTCTGGTAGAATTCTGCACTAAAACCATCTGGGCCCTGGCCCTGTTTTCTTTGCTTGTTTGTTTGTTTTGGAGGTTTTTGCCGACAGCTTCTATTTCCTTGCAGTTTATAGGTCTATTTAAATTGCTCACTTGGTCTTTATTTAATTTTGGCATATGGTATCTATCTAGAAAATTGTCCATTTCTTTAACATTTTCCAGTTTTGTGGAGTACAGGTTTTTGTAAAAGGATCTAATGATTCTCTGAATTTCTTCAGTGTCTGTTGTTATGTTCCCCTTTTCATTTCTGATTTTGTTAATTTGGATGTTCTCTCTTTGCCTTTTGATTAGTTTAGATAAGGGTTTGTCTATCTTTTTGATTTTCTCAAAGAACCATCTCTTTGTTTCATTGATTCCTTGTATTGGTTTCTTTGTTTCTATTTTGTTGATTTCAGCCCTCAATTTGATTATTTCCTGTCTTCTACTCCTCCTGGGTGAGGCTGCTTCTTTTTGTTCTAGAGCTTTCATGTGTGCTGTTAAGTCACTAGTGTGAGCTTTCTCCACTTTCTTTATGTGGGCATTTAGAGCTATGAACTTTCCTCTTAGCACTGCTTTCATAGTGTCCCATAGGTTTGGCTATGGTGTGCCTTTGTTTTCATTGAATTCTAGGAAGCCTTTAACTTCTTTATTTCTTCCTTGACCCAGGGTTGGTTCAGTAGTTCACTGTTCAAGTTCCATGAGTTTGTAGGCTTTCCGAGAATAGTTTTGTTGTTAAATTCTAACTTTAACCCATGGTAATCCGATAAGACACAGGGGGTTACTTCAATTTTTTTTGTATCTTTATTTGTATTTGTCGAGGTTTGTTTTGTTACCAAGTATGTGAGCCATTTTAGAGAAGGTTCCATGAGGTGCTGAGAAGAAGGTATATTCTTTTGTGTTTAGGTGGAATGTTCTATAGATGTCTGTTAAGTCCATTTGACTCATGACATCTGTTAGTTCTCTTATTTCTCTGTTAAAGTTTCTTTCTGTTGGCCAAGTCTCCTACAATTAGTGTGTGGGGTTTGGCGTGCGATTTAAGTTTTAGTTAATGTTTCTTTTACATATGTGGGTGCTCTTGTATTTGGGGCATAGATGTTCAGGACTGAGACTTCATCTTGATGGATTGTTCTGTAATGAGTATAAAGTGTCCTCCATCTCTTCTGATTGATTTTAGTTTGAAATCCATTTTGGTAGACATTAGGATAGCTACACCTGCTTGTTTCTTAGGTCCATTTGATTGGAAAATACTTTTCAACCCTTTACTCTGAGGTAATGTCTGTCTTTGAAATTGAGGTGTGTTTCTTGTATACAGCAGAAGGCCAGATCCTGTTTTCATGTCCATTCTCTTAGCCTGTGTCTTTTTACAGGTGAATTGAGTCCACTGGTATTAAGAGATATGAATGACCGGTAGTTGTTAATTCCTGTTCTTTTCAATAGTAGTGTTTTGGTGTTTCTCTTCTTTGGGTTTGCTGAGGGGGGGGGTCATCTGTTGCCTGTATTTTTGTGGGTGCAGATAGCTTCCTTGGGTTGGGGTTTTCCTTATGGTACTTTCTGTAGGGCTGGGTTTGTGGATACATATTGTTTAAATCTGGTTTTGTCATGGAATATCTTGTTTTCTCTATCAATGGTGATTGAAAGCTTTGCTGGGTATAGTAGTCTAAGCTTGCATCCATGGTCTCTTAGTGTCTGCCCAGGACCTTCTGGCTTTCATGGTTTCCTTGAGAAATCGGATGTAATTCTGATAGGTCTACCTTTATATGTTGCTTGACCTTTTTCCTTTGCAGCTCTTACTATTATTTCTTTATTCTGTATGTTTTGCATTTTGATATATATAGATCCAGTCTATTTGGTGTTCTGTAAGCTTCGTGTACCTTCATAGGGATATCCTTCCTTAGGTTGGGAAAGATTTATTCTATGATTTTGTTGAATATATTTCCTGTGCCTTTGAGCTGGACTTCTCCTTCTTCTATCCCTATTATTCTTAGGTTTGGTCTTTTCATGGTATCCCAGATTTCCTGAATGTTTTGTGTTAAGAATTTTTGGATATAATGTTTGCTTTGATCAATGAGTCTATTTTCTCTACAGTATCTTCAATACCTGAGGTTCTTTCTTTTACGTCTTGTATTCCGTTGGTTATACTTGTCTCTAGTTCCTGTTCATTTACCCAGATTTTCCATATCCCGAATTCCCTCAGTTTGTGTTTTCTTTATTACCTCTATTTCAGTCTTCAAGTCTTGAACTGGTTGCTTCACCTGTTTGTTTTTTTTTCTTTATTGGTTTTCTTGGGATTCTTTGAGGGATTTATTAATTTCTTCCAATTTTTCGTTTGTCTTCTCCATTTTTTAAGGGAGTTTTTCATTTCCTCTTTAAAGGTCTCCATCATTTTCATAAAGTTACATTTAAAGTTGTTTTCTTCTGCTTCTTTTCAGTTAGGATGATCAAGTCTTCCTATTGTGTGACTACTGGGTTCTGGTGTTACCATGTTTTTTTAGGTTGTGGATGAATTCTTGCATTGGCGCCTTCCCATACTTTTCTTCGAATGAGACCAGTAGTGTCTGCATCTTGGTCCAATCCTTGAGGTGGCTGTCTGAATATTTGGGAATTTTTCCTGGTCTGCTCTGTACTGTCAATGTCTGTGTCTCAAGAAGCCTCTGAGGTCTCTGTAAACCTGCTCTCTTGGTCTCTCTTGGTTCGCTCTCTTGCTCCTTTCTTTGGTCCCCTCAGTATTATGGCAAGCTCTTGGTTCCCTTAGTATTGGAGCAAGCTGTGTTTTAGAGTTCCACCAAGGTTGCAGAAGGATAGGCGAGTTTGGGGGTGGGGTGAGCTAGTAGCTTGGAGGGTCAGGTGAATGGGATTGGGTAATGGGGGAGCCTATTTGCAGGGAACTCTCCTGCTGGCTGACTAGAAAAGCCAAGGGAGTTGGAGGAGAGACCTGGGGTTTTGTACCACTGTGGAGGTCCTAAAGAGTGTGGTGTCCTGCCATGTGGCTGTTCACTCAACTCTTAAGTCCCCTCAGTATTGGAGCAAACTGTATTTCTGATGAGTTTAAATAAAAAAGGGAGGGAGCAGTGGGTTGGGACACACATTTATCAGCACGTGAACCTGACAGCATTTTACATCCTAACCCATCACAGATGAATTGCTGTCAGTGGTTTCTTTAATTTGTTTTCATTCTTTATCTTTATTTTTTTAATTTCAACTGTGTTCATTATAATCAAAACTTGTTTTGTCTTTTTCATTTGAAGGTTGGGAAATCAAGTCATATTTTAGACAAGATGTATTGTTGTTGAAGACAAGAAACTAAAGAAAACACACACTGGGTTTATTTCTTGCGTCTTGTGGAAATGAAACTTTCTAACTAAGCTGATTCTAGGTCCCATTCTCATGCAGAAAGTTTACTAGAACACCCAGATCTAGCCCAGCTCTTATAACCTGTGCCTCAACCTACTCAGTCCACCCCCACCTGCTCGGAAACCGACCTCTTGGCTTTGGCCAGAACCCACCAGTCTCCACCCACAGATCTTTTCTGCACAGCATCCAACATCCTCCTCTTCCAGGGAAGAACTCCCACTTGCTTCTCCAGGATCTAGTCTGGTGAATCTCCCTGACCTGCCCATCCACATCTTCTCCCCATCTTCCCAGAGACCCACCCACATTCGGTACCCTGGCCTTGTATGGCCTCCCCTGCCTACAGTGTGGATATTTCCGTCAGGACCCTCCAGATCTACACCCACACTCCAGGAACAGGAGGCACAAACTGTACACTAGCCCAGCCCCCTCTAACCACCTGACTACATTCCATCTAAGTAATTTCCAGCCTCTAAGCCCAAGCCTCCCAAATGTCCTCTCTTTCGCCCCAACCTGCTCTGCCTGTATTAGAATTAGAACTAATCAAAGAAGGCCATGTGCCCGGATTTCAATGAAACAATACCAAAAAATATGAAAGATCAAACCAGTAATTTCTTTCCAAAATCTACCGGGCCTGGAGAAATGTTTGCCAATGAGAATGACCTAAATGAAAATTAGGACACAGAATATAAAAAAAAAGAACAATAATAAACTTCACCAAATCTATACACATTCAAAAAGGATTCGAATAATTCTGTACATCCTGTCTGACCACAGTGTAACCGAAACTGACAGGAAACAAATCTCTGGTTACACAAACTCGTGGAGGTTAAACAGCTCAATACTGCATCATGAGTGGGCCAAAGAAGAAATCAAGAAAAAAAAAT